CAACACAACATATCTACAACCATCTGATCTTTGACAAACCAGACCAAAACAAGCAATGGGGAAAGGATTCCCTGTTTAATAAATGGTGTTGGGAAAACTGGCTAGCCATGTGCAGAAAGCAGAAACTGGACCCCTTCCTGACACCTTACACTAAAATTAACTCCAGATGGATTAAAGACTTAAACATAAGACCTAACACCATATAAACCCTAGAAGAAAATCTAGGCAAAACCATTCAGGACATAGGCGTAGGTAAGGACTTCATGACCAAAACACCAAAAACATTGGCAACAAAAGCCAAAATAGACAAATGGGACCTAATCAAACTCCCACAGCTTCTGCACAGCCTCCAGATTTTTTAATGATCGCCATTCCAACTGGCATGATATGGTATCTCAATGTGGTTTTGATTTGCATTTCTCTAATGACCAATGAAGATCATATTTTCATATGATAGTTGGCCTCATAGATGTCTTCTTTTGTAAAGTGTCTGTTCATATCCTTCACCCACTTTTGAATGGGCTTGTTTTTTTTTTTCTTCTTGTAAACCTGTTTTAGTTCTTTGTAGATTCTGGATATTAGCCCTTTGTCAGATAGGTAGATTGCAAAAATTTTTTCCCATTTTGTTGGGTTGCTGGTTCACTCTAATGATTGTTTCCTTTGCTATACAGAAATTCTGGAGTTTAATTAGACCCCATTTGTCTATTTTGGATTTTGTTGCCATTGCTTTTGTTGTTTATATCCACTGTGCTACAAGACCCACAAAAGGAACCTGGTAACTTGTTTGGAATTGTGGATACCACACGGTTTCTGCATCCCTCTCGCTGGGAGCTGCTTTCTGGAGCTGCCTCTTATTCAGCCATCTTCGGATCGACCATTCATTTTCTTTATAATTGGAACAGTCACAAAAATCTTCACTTCCCAAAGTATCTGTCTGAAAGAATATGAGAGCCCACACTTCTGAAATGTGTCCAAGCCCAACTCTCTTATACTCACTACAGAACTAACAAATTACTCAGCAGGGGAAAACCACCAAAACACATATCCTAAAGGCACTGCTGCAACCTATCGGGAATAGAGATGGGAACAGAGTTCCCCACCAAAGTTTTACTTGGAAGCAGTTCCCCTGTTTCTTATGGAATCACAGCCTTAGTCTTCAGGGCAGGGCAGTAGATCTGGAAGATGATGACACAGGTGGAGAACACTGGAGCTGTAGGAGGGAACACCTCGGGGAAACAGGGAGACTCTACCCCAGGGGAAGGAGCAAGAAAACACAGACCAGCATGTCATCTAGAGAAGGGTCAGTAACAGTCACAATCTCATGCCTAGACACAGGGTCACAATGCCTTCTTATGAATATGGACCAAGGAATATGGACCTAGGAATATAGAGCCTTTAGCATAATGCCTTGCACTGATTTAGAAATCGTCAGTAAATAAAACAACTGCATGAACCTGAGGGAGCTGAAAGAGATTGTTTGAAGGACAGAACAAGGTGAAGAGACAAAGTCAAGTAGAAAAGACAAGGGAGATACCGTTGGAAGATCTGTAGTCTCTGGTGGACATAGAATAACAGACTTCAATTAGTTTTGAAAATTCTATGTCAGTCTTTAGTAATTTTATATAATAAAACAGTCAGCCTCATCAATGGAGTCTTTTTATCCCCATCAGGGATGAGTGTCTATGTGGGCATGTGGTGAAGTTCTAGTCATGAAGACAGGGAGATGGTCTGCTGAAGTGTTCCTAGTCCTTCAGAGGAGATTTGCAAAAATGTTTCTTCCCCACATCCGGCCAACATTTAATACATGTGTGTGACCCCTGGGAACGTTGTGACCATTCACTGCATGATGGGAGTCACCTGGGAAGCAAAGCCGATTTCTGAATATATCAGTGTGGAAAATTGAGAATTGAAACAGCCTGGGCACATGAGCTGTCAAATTATTCAGTCCTGGAGGCTCTCACATCAAGCTTCTCGGAATGGCATAGTGGGCTGAAACAGTCTACAGCCTCACCCAGCCTCCTAAGTACTTTTCTACCTCTTCCCAAGACTCCACCACTTTCACCTCACCCTAACCCTAAAAATATAGAGACATTTTGGTAAGAAACTGTTGCATATAATCAGGTTTTTTTCACTCATATCCACTCACATTCAATATCTCTAGTTCTCCATTATTGGCCTTTTAAAATAGCAACAAGAAAAACCCTGCTCAGTCCTAACTCTATGGTGAGCCATCTGTGTTCAGAGCTGATCATCAAATCAAAATTCCTGGTAATTCTGGATGGGGGCTCTTCTCCAGAGCTGTGGGTCAGGGCTGGGCTGCTTCTCATCAGGAGGGGGAGGATTCTATCTGTGTCTCCTCCTCTGTAGCAAACTCTAGGTGGGCCTTCTGAGGAGAGAGCAAAGCCCAGAGCAGACATGAGACTGCTGGAGGAGTGTAGTGGTGATGGCAGCATTTGGGAAACATAATTTCTTATTATGTGATTTTCCCATTAAAATTACTAAGCAATGATTATTTTGTTTCTATTTTACATACTTGTAAAAATAGAAATATAACTGTATTAATCAACTTTAAGAGATACGAAGGTAGAAATAGAAAACAATACAAAGGAGGATACTTCAACACCTCACCCTCAATAACGTATAGAACATCCACAAAAAATTCTTAGGAAGCCAGTGGAATTAGCCAACACTATTGAACAAACCAACCTAATAGACATCTACAGAACCTTCCAACCAAAGCAGTGTAATATGCATCCCAAGCACACAATAAATATTCTTCGTGATAGGTTGTATGTTAGATAAAAAATGAATTTCTAAATTAAAAAAATAATAATGCCAACTGTTCTCTAACTTTTTCAAAAATTGGTGAGACTCCAACCTTCTAAACTCTCTCTAAAAGGCTACAATAACCATATTACCAGTAATAGACAATGGCAAAAGAAGAAAGTTAAACTTCAAATATTCTTAGTATATATAAATAAACCACTCCCAAGTAATAGTCAACTAAGTTCTAGAGGACTTTAAAAGGATCATATGCTGACTGGGTGCAGTGAGTCACACCTGTAATCCCAGCACTTTGGGAGGGTGAGGTGATGAACCACCTGAGGTCAGGCATTTAAGACCAGCATGGCCAACATGTTAAACCTCATCTCTACTAAAAATACAAAAATTAGCCGGGTGTGGTGGTACATGTTTATAATCCCAGCTATTTGCGAGGCTGAGGCAGGAGAATCACTTGAGCCTGTGTGGCAGAGTTTGCAGAGAGCCAACATTGCACCACTGCACTCCAGCCTGGGCAACAAAGCAAGACTCTGTCTCAAAAAAAAATAAAAAAGAGGGAGTTATACACCAGAGCAAACTTAAATTTATTTTTGAGATGCATGGATGACTCAACATCCTCAATTCAATACATTTCGTGTGCTTAATTAAGAGAATAAAGAAAAAAATTTCCATTAACTTCTCACTAGACACAGAAAATAACATTTAAAAATCAAGATTTCATAATAAAAACTCTAAAAAGTAGGAACAAATGAATATAATCTGTACAGGATAAAAGTCACTATGAAAAGCCATATCTATTACCATACTTAATTAATGACATTGGTGTAAGGTTAATAGGCAGTTGCTGGGCAGGTACACTTAGAGAAGCAATTCTTTTAAGATTATGGTGGCCTGGGCCAGGCACAGTGGCTCATACCTATAATCCCTGAATTTTGGGAGGCCAAGTCAGGTGTATCGCCTGAGGTCAGGAGTTCGAGACCAGCCTGGCCTACATAGAGAAATCCCTATCTCTACTAAAACTACAAAATTAGCTGGGTGTGGTGGTGCATGCCTGTAATCCCAGCTACTTGGGACTGAGACAGGAGAATCGCTTGAACCCAGGAGGCAGACGTTCTGGTGAGCCGGGATTGCACCATTGCAATCCAGCATGGGCAACAAGGGTAAAACTCCATTTCAAAAAAAAAAAAAAAGACAAGAAAAGAAAAATAGAGAAGATGGTGGTGGTCTCTGTACAAGGTTGTGGCTGTGCAGAGTCTATTCATGATTGTTCTTGTTATCAGGAATATGTGTGTTAGACCCTCTATCATGGCCTTCCCCAGCTTCATTCACTGGGGTTTTAACACAAGTGGCTCCATTTTGATCGATACATTTCACAAGCTCTTTCTACACTACTTCTGAAGCAGATGACTCTGACAGTTTGCATAGAGCAGGGTTAATTCCACAGCCACACCCCATTTAGATCAAATAAGTTCATCCCATTCACTATTAACAGCCAATTGCACTCCCAGATGAGTCTACACACAACACAGCAAACGGTCCTGAGCAAATGGGGAGAGAAGGGAGCCCCGTCACCCTCTCCCACATGGCTGCCGGAGCCACAGCCTGAGCCCCACCTGTGCTCCAAGAAAATGCCTTGAGGCCCGGAATGTAGACCACAGAGACCATCTGTTTATATATTAGAAAGCAGGAAAAGCAAATAAAAAAGGAAAAACAAACACTCTGAAGGAAGAACACAGAGGGGAGCAAAGGAGCCCTAGGTCACTGCTGATGTCGATTGGCTTTAGTGTCAGGAGAAGGGTCAGACGTGAAACCCGTGAGGTTCTACAAGATGCTGACACTGACCCAGCCTCTCTATTGATTCTGGGAATCTCCTTGAGGTTTCTGTCCTCTGTCTGATTGGAGAAGACTCATTAGGAACCCCTGAGCTTCCTCAGGTCTCTGATGCTGGTGAACACGGCTGAGAACATTTAATCTTTGTAAACGTCATCTACATTTGGTGCATGTGAGAATAGATCCTCGTGTTAAAATGACCTTTTAAAAAAAAAGATAGAGATAATATTAGGAAGCACAGAATTCTAAACTTAGAGAGATTCACTGTTGAAACTGTAAGAAGTTGAAGTCCCATATCCTGACAGGAAATCAGCCTCCATCTGCACCTACCTCTGGGGTTGACTCTGATCAGTGAGTCCTGAGCAACCTCTGCAGCTGATTCCCCCGAGGTTTGTGTCCGGGCTCACACTGACTTCCCCTCACTGTCTCTCACACAGTAATACACGGCCGTGTCCTCGGCTCTCAGGCTGTTCATCTGCAGATAGAGAGAGTTCTTGGCGTTGTCTCTGGAGATGGTGAATCAGCCCTTCACGGAGTCTGCGTAGTATGTGCTACCATCACTACTACTAATGTATGAGACCCACTCCAGCCCCTTCCCTGGAGCCTGGCGGACCCAGCTCATGTCATAGTTACTGAAGGTGAAACCAGAGGCTGCACAGGAGAGTCTCAGGGTCCCCCCAGGCTGAACCAAGCCTCCCCCAGACTCCACCAGCTGCACCTCACACTGGACACCTGCAAACAGAAAGAAACCCTGGTGAGAAAGTATCACAAATATCCACCATTTATCTCACTCTTATCACCCACACTCAATTTCAATAGTTATCCATGAATTACCTTTTAAAATAGCAACAAGGAAAACACAGCTCAGCCCAAACTCCATGGTGAATCTTCTGTGTTCTGTGTTGATCACCAAATGGAAACACTTGAAAATCTCAGGGCTGGGGCTCCTCTCCCATAGCTGCAGGGTCAGGGCTCATCAGCAGAGGGAGGGCTCTATTTGCATGTCTCCTGCTATATAGCAAGCTGTGGGCTGAGAGGCCTGAGGAGAGAGTGGGGCTCAGAGCACAGGACAGTGTTCTGGGGGAGATTTGTGACATTGATAGTATTGGGAAATTGTGGTTTCTTATTGTAAGTTTGTTCTGTGATAAACCCTTAAAACCTATAAAACTTATATATTTTAATTTCTATTTTAAAACAGTTTTATTGAGGTACAATAGATCTATATCAACCACGTATATTTAAAGTTAGCACCAATCATCTTTTATTTTTACATATGCAGAGAAAACATGGTATGTGGTATCAATGTTATTTCCATGTTACAGGTGAAAAATTACCAGGAAAAGCACATGTGGGTTGTACAATGTCCCCAGAGCTCACATTTGGTCAGAGTGTGCCTGGGTGTCTGAGCCTGTGCTTCTCACCACTGGACCTGACATCTCCCGGAACCAAGCCCAGCACACAGTGGGTGGCACCTAGTGAGGTTTGCAGAACCTTTTCTTTGTAATGAGAACATGGTGTGATGTGTATTCACTGTTGTGATTACCTGATAAATGTAAAGAAAAGCATGTTTCCTACAGTTTTATTTTCTCGAGTGTCATACATATTTTATATTGGTGTCTATCTTTCCATAAATATCTAACAAATTACCCATCAACTTATTGGCAATACCATTATTGAGGCATTATTGCTTTATAATAAATATTGCATAATTAATGTGTGCAGCTGAATGAGCAGTGAAGCCCAGCATGGTGGTGCACACCTGTGGTCCCAGCTACGCAGGGAAGACGGAGGAGGATTGCTGCAGACCCAGGGTCTGAGGGTGCAGAGAGCTTTGATCTCACCACTGAGCTCCAGCCTGAATGACAAAGCAAGACCATGTCTCCAAAGGAAACATGTCATTTCACGTGTGCTCACCTGTGCAGCCAATATAACAATCGAGATACCAATGAATTACACTTAAAAGCTTCCTCCTGTTCCTCTAATTCCTGCATCTCAGTGGTTTTCCTATCACCATGCTGAGTCAATCTTTCACCTTTGTTACTTTAGATCTATTTTTCAAGATTTGTTAAAGTGAAATCTTGTAGCTTCAACTTCATTTCTGTGGCTTCTTCCTCAGCCTAATTACTTGTGAGTCAGTAATTTGGTTGTGTATAAAAAATGTGTTGATTCTTATGAGGAGCAGCATTGCAGTTAATGAGAGCACCTCTATTACTTATTTATAAAACACCATAATATTCGTGTTATTTCTAGTTTTTAATATTAAAAATGAAGTTTATACTCAGCCTGGAGGTATAGGCATCCAAGAAAAGTATGCTATTTTTACAACAACTGACCTTACTGAGTTGCAAATTGGCGTATTTTCTTTAGTACATCAGATTATTGATGTTACAGGACAAAGAGACTTTACATCTTGAGAAACTCAGTGACTTACAAAAACAAATAGGAAGAGAATATGACATTATCTAGGGCAGAGGCCAGCAAATGTCATATAGGATAAAACAAGATAAATTGGACATTTTCTTTAGAGTATTTAAAATTTAGTGTAATGAAGTTATTGTTTAAATTCTCAGAGCACGCACAACTGAGGGATTCCTACTGCTACTGAAACCTTTTCTCCCAGGATTGAAAAATCTCCACCCTCTACCTCCCAAGATGCTTCTGTGTGGGAAACAGAACAGCAGCTGTGGCTGAAATGCATCTAGACCCACCTCCCTTGCCATCACTACATTACTACAGAATTCCCCTGCAGGGGCAAGACGCTAACTCCTCTGTGTGGCTGGCACTGTAGGAACTCATAGAAGCTGGGATAGAAGAAAGAGAAGCTCCAAAACTCTGTCCATTCTCTTAGGAATGACAGCCTCATCTCCCACCTCCTCTCATTTCCTCAGGAATAGCAGCCTCGTCTGCTGGGAGGGACAGAAAAGAGAAAGCTGAAGACATCAGTGGGAAGACTTAGTGGCTGCTGGAAGATCTGGAAAAAAACAACAACAAGGAGACACTCTCCCCAGGAAAGGGAGGAACATGCATGGATCAGCACTGCACCTGCAGGAGGCGCAGGGATACTTGGAAGGACACACCCTGAGCCAGGACTGTGATCTCAGCCTGGAGTATGGCTCCTCAGAAAAGCAGAGTGCCCGTTCAGTGTAACGCTTCCACCTCATTGTCAACTCTCAGGTCCACATACTCTGGGATGACCTGGGGGATCTGAAAGACAGAGTCTGTCTGTTTAGCACAGGAGTAAGGCCCAAAGCCAAGCAGGAAATAAAATTAAGGTGTCACCGGAGAAATCTTGAGTGTCTGGTGTCCGCAGAGGAAACACACTTCAATTCTGGCAGCCACTGCAACAATGACTTTCAAATGTATCCCTGATTAGTTTCACACAATTTCCTACCATAAATGCCTAGATAAGATAGGGTGTGATCATCTACAAAAATTGCAAAAATCATAAAACAAATAATTAGCGGACATAAGAAATCTGAGAGAAGTATGTGGGGAACATTAGTTTTGAAATAATTTGCCTAAGTACTTTTAAACATTTACACTTGATCCCACAGTTAGTCTATATGTAACTCTTTAAAAAAATTGCCAGCATGTGTTTCCATGCCAGATTCCTCTCTGAAAACCTTTTCTCTTGACACTTGAAATAAACTTACCAGAAACAAATGTTAGCATTTCTTTTATGTTCAAAATCGCCACCCACTGTGAAAATAATTAAACATGGGGGACTTATCTTTATAAACATGTAGTCTAGTAGATTTCTAAAGTCCTTTACACCCAACGATTCTTATGCAGAGCATCCCACCTAATAGGAATCTGCAATTAGCTGGATTTCCCTGCATTGGGGTTTTTTAATGCTTAACTAATGTAGATACAGAATACTACAAAACCTGTAGGGGGTACATGTGATATTTTGATAAAAGAATATTATGTGTAGTGATCAAATCTGGATAACTGGAATATCCTTCAGCTCAATAATCGATTATTTCTTTAAGAACATTCTAAATCTTGTTTTCTACTTTTTCTGAAATATACACTAAAATATTAACTGTAGTTGTCTATGTGCCATTTCAGAATTTCCACCAGCAAGGAGTGAAAGTTCCTGTTTCTCAGTTTCCTCATCACCATTTGGTATTTTCTACTGTGTGTTTTACTCATTCTAATAGGCTAGTAGTATTTTTTGAATCTGTCTTGATTGATAACATGGCTTTTGTATTTACTTTTGCTTATATGATGAATAACATTTACTTAACCGACCTTGCATCCCAGGAGCAAAGCCTACTTGATCATGGTGGATTAGCTTTTTGATGTACTGCTGTGTTCAGTTTGTCAGTATTTCATTGAGCAGTTTTGCATCAGGAATACTGGCCTAAAGTTATCTTTTCTTTTTTTTAATGGAGTCTCTGTCAGGGTTTGTTATCAGAATACTGTTCCCATAGAATAATTCAGGGAGCGGTCCTTCCTCCTCAGTTTTTGGGAAGAGTTTCAGTAGGATTGGTGCATCTCTTCTTCATAAATCTGAAAAAAAAATTGGCTGTGAATCTTTCTGGTTCATGGCTTTTTCTGGTTGTTACCACCTATCTATCTTGATGTCTGACCCCTACCTGAGTCAGTAATAATCACATTGAATTAAGACAAAGCTGAATCCAATCCAATGTTTATTATAGTTTTTAACAACTTTACTGGCTCACTTAACTTCATGAACATTTCTTCACCAAAAACAGTTTCACTGCCAATAATATTTAAGAATTTCTGTTTGAAATTTTTTCATGTATTTTAGTGATGCAATTTATTTTAAAACAATGTTGACTTCTCTACATGCATAATGATCATTCCTACTATTGTTGAATGGGCCAGCAACCCTCTATTCCTGTTTCTTCCCTCTGCATACCTGGCTGCCTGCAAGACCTCCCCAGACCTCAGTTCTCTACTGTAGAGGGAAACTTTGAGAAATGTTGGATCTACTCAGTGCTAAAAATAGAAAATGCTAATGGAAGCTCCTTTTCCCATGGACATGTTAGGCAAGTATTTCAGAGGCTGCCTTTATCCCCACACCTGTCCCAGAGCGTCCATTTAGGTCACTTCCAATGAATTTTTTGTTATTTTAAACATAATGATAATAGACAAATAATAATTGTCAATGTTCATGAGTTAGACAGTGATGTTTTGATACATATAATGTATAGGGGCTAGATTAGGATAATTAGCATATCCATCATCTCAATCCTTTTGTTTTTATTGAGAATACTAATATACTTCTTCTACTATTTGAAAATCCATATTATTGTTAACTATATTGATCCCACAGTGGTAAAATGGTAAATAGATTATAATCTATTCCTCCTACTTAACTTAAATGTTGTTTTCTTTAACAAATCTCTGCCTATCTCCCCCTTTCCACTACCCTTCCCAGCCTCTAGAATTCTCTGTTCTACTCTTTACTTCTAGGAGACCTTTTTTATTCTTTATTTTTTTATTTTTAATTTTTATTTTTTTGTTTCCATGTATAAGTGAAAAAACAAGGTGTATTACTTTCTGTTCCTGGCTTACTTCATTTAACAGTGTCTTCCATTTCCATCCTCACTGCTAGGATGGATTTCATTTATTATGAATGAATTAAGTAACAGGATTTCATTTATTATGGATGACTAGTATTCATCAGGTATCTGCACCACATTTTCTTTAACCATTCATCTCTTGTCCAGCACCAGGGCTGATTTCATATCTTGGCTATTGTGAAAGGTCCTGCCACATACATTGGTGTGCAGAAATATCTGACATAATGATAATGATTTTCATTTCTTTGGGTAAATTTGCACGACTGGAATTGCTGGATTATATGGTAGTTTCATTTGTAGTTTTTTGAGTTACCTCCACACTGCTCTCCATAGTGACTGTACTAACTTACATTCTCCCCACAATGCATAACAGTATTCTTTTCTCTTAATCCTTACCAGCATTTTTTAGGATTTTTTTTTCTTTTCTGA